GAGCAGCCCCGGTGAACTAATAACCCACGCTTTGCCCTCAAATTGGAAAATTATTCCTTTCGGTGTCTACTGGATTCTAGGAACCAGACAGAAGATTTGGCAAAACCCCCTTCGGTTCCACACAATTTTATATATATAAATTTTTATTTTTTATTATTATTATTATTATTATTTTTCCTTTCTCCTTAAATTAAATGCACATTGAATAAACCACGCGTTGTGTCAAGAGCAGAACTTGGGGAGCTCCGGCCGCCTCTGGGGTGGCAGAGGCAGCTCTGCTGGGCTGCTCCAGCACGGTTTGCAAAAGGAGGTGAGCATCTGCGGACGAACGTATGAGAAACGGCTGGGGCTCGCTGATGGGGAGGGGAAAAAAAACCAAAAAAAACCCAAAAAACAAGTTTTCTCTTTCTCCCCAAACAATCTTTTCTCCCAATTAGAAGATGACACCGCGTCAGAGGTGGACTAAGGAGTTTCTCATCCCTGACGGCCCCGGGGGAGTCAGGGCGGGGGGAAGGCAACCTTCAGGGGAGCTGGGGAGAGCAGAGCCCAACAAGACTTAAGTTGCGGGCAAGACGGAGTATGTGCTAGAAAGCCTGCCTAAATCTGTAAGCAATCGCGTTTGCTCCATAGCTGCAGAACAGCCGTGCCCTCAAGACCACCCTGGGAGCTTTGGGGGGAAAAAAAAGCAAAACAAGCAACCAACCCACCAACCAAACCACCGGGACTTCGCACCTCGCCTGCAGAGAGCTGCCCCGGCTGGCTTTGAACCTTCTGCCTCACAGGGGTTGTGCAAGTCTCAAGGGGTTTTCTGGTCCTCGCAGGACGAGTCCAGCACTCACTGTTCTGCCGCCGCTCCCTTCCCTTCCCCGCCAGCTGGATGATCTCTAGAACATCCCTTCCAACTCTGCCCATTCCGTGATCCTGCGCTGCCCACGGCTTAAGGACTCGAGTGGCGCCTTCTCCGAGCAGAAGCGGCGGGGACGGGCTGGACGGCTGCACCTTGAAGGGGAGGGTGGGGGACCCGGTACCACCGGGGCGGTGCGGGATGCGTTTTTTTTTTTTTTTTTTTTTTTCTGCTGAACACCATTTTTTCCATCCTGGGAAGACCGGGGAGGTTAAACTCCCCGCCTGAACCGAAGCCCTGGACGAGTGCAACTGAGGTTATAGAAACCCGGGAGGGGAAATGACGAAAATGTTTTATTGTGAATAAAACAAGAGGGAGGAGGGAGAGGCGGAACTTCACAAAGGTGAAGGATGGGAAGTTTGCAGAACTGAGGACTTAGCACCGGGCAGGGGGTTAGTCAGTGTTTCCTTCTGTCTCTCTGAGGCTACAATGGCACCTCCTCCACAATTAGCTGAACCTGTCCCACTCCTCTGCTTTAGTTTCAAGGGAAGGTTACGCTCCTGAGCGGCTTTTGAGGGGAGCCGGGTCACCCACCCCCCCGCCCCAGCCCGTGGCCCTATATCCCCCCCTCCCCGCCTCGGGAATGATGTGCCAAACCTGGAACAGGGACTTATCTTTCCTAGCCAAGCTCCCAGGTCAACTTCCTCGTAGGAAAGCTGATTTATGCCTCTTGATACGGGTGGAAAAAGGAGGCAGAAGCCAAGGGCGGCATCCCTCCAAAATCTCATTGTCTTTGAGGCGGGAAGAGGGGAGAAAGGAGAAGTAGGAAACCTAAAATGATAAGGTTTGCCTTGTCGCGGCGGGGAGGACTTGACCAGAAAGGCAAACACGGGGTTTTACCTCACCTCCCCGCTCCTCAAGCCTTTCCCAGGTCCCACAAAATCACCGGTCCC